TGGATAACGCGGTGGCAGTTGAAGCGAACAGTAATGAGTTCGATTCCCAGAGTGAACATCGACTCTGAGATGCAGGTACATCCAGCTAACGAGTCTCAAATAGGACAAGACGCGCATCCTGGATTCCATTGCCAGTCACTATTCATCTTTGCATATACTACTCTAGTATTTGTTTTAACAATTTTATTTCGTTATCTTAATGTAATATAACAAATTGAGTCAATGCACTTATATATGTGCCAGATTCTACGTTGCGTATTATATTACACTTAAATATAACAAATTATACACCAAAGAATGAATAATCAAGTAGTAACAACCACAGTTAATATGACAATAAAAAGAAAAATTAGAAATGACTAATTGAAGTTTTATTCACTCATATAATTAAGGTGGTAAGTGTTTACATGTATTTTTCCATTATTATTTGGTATATTTTCTCATATACAATTGTGATAATGATGGTAATAATAATTTGAAACAAAAATAATTGATAAGACAGTTTTGTAGAAAGTTAAAGAGTAAACAAATGTGAAATCCTTTAAATAAAATCTATCTAATCGAATAAATATGATGGACATTGTTCTGTACATGTTGAAACGTGAAATCAGTTTACATCGGGCAAAATTGGTCAGTCAGTCATATTAACTGAACATGAATAAATTCACATTACTTTGTTGTCGTTGTCAACAAAATGGATTTATATCTTTTCAAATTGTACAAAAACTAGTAAATTTTACTGTGAAATGTATTTCTACAAGTTACCAGATGTAAATCTTAATTCCATTTTCTCGATAAACTGTAACCTTGTAACTTAAACTGAACAAACATACATGGGACGAATTTAGTGTTTCAGTAATACATATATATAGTGTATTCATAAAATCTCATTTGGGTTCATCTGTCAGTTTATAATCTAGAATCTATTTCCTTTATGAATGAACTTATGTAACAGTATTCCATTAAATAATGACCATTAACTCGTTGTGCTGAAAGACGACTAGAAAATACTAAATAATATAGGTCTATTAATTGATATAGGCAGGCCAATCATTGAAATTCAAGAACAGCGGAACAGATAGCAAGAATACTTCGAGGAACTCCTGAATAGGTCGGCTCCAACGAATCCACCGGACATTGAAGCAGCGCATACAGATCTTTCTATAGATGTCAATCCACCAACGACGGAAGAAATCAGAATGGCCATCAGACAAATCAAGAGCGGGAAAACAGCAGGACCCGACAACATACCAGCTGAAGCACTGAAGTCAGACATCGAAGTAACTACAAACATGCTTTACCTTCTATTCAAAAAGATTTGGGAGGCGAAACAAGTGCCGATGGGCTGGAAAGAAGGGCACCTCATCAAGATTCCAAAGAAAAGAGATCTGAGAAAATGTGAAAACTACAAAGGCACTACACTACTGTCAATACCAGGGAAGGTCTTTAACAGAGTGTTGCTGAACCGGATGAAAGATGCAGTAGACGCCCAACTTCGAGATCAACAAGCTGGATTCCGTAAGGATCGATCGTGCACAAACCGAATTGCGACTTTACGGATCATCGTCGAATAATCAGTTAAGTGGAACTCGTCGCTATACATCAACTTCATTGATTATGGAAAGGCATTTGACAGTGTGGGTAGGAGGACGTTATGGAAACTTCTTCGACACTACGGAGTTCCTGAGAACATTGTTAATATTATAAGGAACTCATACGACGGACTACAATGCAAAGTCGTGCATGGAGGACAGCTGACAGATGCATTCCAAGTAAGGACCGGAGTCAGACAAGGCTGTTTACTCTCTCCCTTCCTCTTTCTACTGGTGGTCGACTGGATTATGAAGACCTCGACGTCTGAAGGAAAACGCGGAATACAATGGACAGCTCAGAATCAATTAGACGATTTGGACTTCGCAGATGACCTAGCCCACCCATCACATACACATGAACAGATGCAGATAAAGACAGCCAGTGTAGCAGCAGTCTCTGCATCAGTAGGCCTCAACATACACAGGGGGAAAACCAAGGTCCTCAAGCACAACACAGAGAACAGCAATACAATCACACTTGATGGCGAAACTGGAAGATGTAGAATCCTTCACATACCTGGGAAGCATCATCGATGAACAGGGAGGATCAGATGCAGACGTAAAGGCAAGGATTGGCAAAGCAAGGGTCGCATTCCTGCAATTGAAGAACAAATGGAACTCAAAACAACTTTCAACCAATATCAGAGTGAGAATCTTCAATACCAACATCAAGGCAGTCTTACTGTACAGAGCTGAAACTTGGAGAACTAATACAACCATCATCAAGAAGGTACAAGTTTTTATGAATAATTGTTTACGCAAGATACTCAACATCCATTGGCTGGATACCATCAGCAACAGCCTTTTGTGGGAGAGAACGAACCAGATTCCAGCTGAAGAGGAAATTAGGAAAAGACGATGGAAATGGATAGGACATGCATTACGCAAATCATCAAACTGCACCACGGGGCAAGCCCTAACTCGGAATCCTAAAGGGAAGCGGAAAAGAGGAAGATCAAAGAACACATTACGTCGGGAAATAGAAGCAGATATGAAAAGGATGAATAACAACTGGAAGGAGCTGGAAAGGATTGCTCAGGACAGGGTTGGATGGAGAATGCTGGTGAGCGACCTATGCTCCTTCACGAGGAGTAACAGGCGTAAGTAAGTAAGTAATTAATTGATATATTGGATCATGATTTAGGTATTCGATAATTCTACATTGAACCTATTATTCATTTAGATGATTCTAATTCAACTTGATCCTTAGAACATTCAACAAGACTTGAACTAGAATCTGATCCCGTATTTTGCAGTAGTCAGTGATTTTTCTACGAATATTACAATTTGATAACGATGTACACAGTACTGTCTGTTAAACGTTGTTTAATTAAAATTTACCCATGTTGTTGCATTTTCATTATTTCTACCGTTTGACTGACCTTTCGAACAGTTTAACAGTTAGCTGCCAAACTAACCACTTTCAAGACTAATGCATTTATAATACTAGGTCAACAAAAATTGATTAGTATATAATTTAACAAATATATTGATCAATTAAAGGTTGTGGATATTGTTAAGTTTTTGATTGAGATCATGAACCGATTGATGTTAGACCACCGTTGAGAACTTGGAAGCACTGGACGGCCGCTTCGTTCTATTGTGGGACTCCTCAGCAGTGCGCGTCGACGATCCCGCTCGCGGTATTCGAACCCAGGGCCTTCAGTCCCGCGTGCGAACATTCAACCTACTGCACCACTGAGCCGGCATCCAATGGTGTTAATGTCTAACCTCAACTAGTCGACGAAATTGAGCGACACATCCACCATTGTCATCGGTGAGTTACTATCTCACAAATGACCCGGTTGAACTCCACTGGTCACTGCTTCCCACTAGAACTCCAGGATATACATCTTGAAGCCAGTCACTAGTGAGCATATGTTAATTGTTATCAGAAGGGGGTTTTGTGGAGATTTTAGTCATTTCAGTTGCTGAGATCATGAGTCGCGATGTCTACCATATTAGTGAAATGTAGCCAGAATAAGATAAATGAAAATTGACTGGTTGTTCAGTGATCAAATAACAGAGTATAACCTAAACAGTCGAGTATAGCATAGATGAACTGTAAACAAACTGAACATCCTATCATTTTATTCCTTGTTTTTGTTGCTGCAAAGCGATAAGAAGTAAACGACATAAATATTACACTGTATACTCTTTAAGACAAGCTACTATTTCTCATGCTGTACTTATATCATAATATATAGACTCAACATAATAACAAATCTTAACGAATTTCTACATTTTTGGGTAGGTCTTATATTAATTTCATATTCTGAACGAAGGTCAACTGTTTCGTCATGTATTAGTAACCTTCAGCAGTAAACCATTCTAATCTATACTTGTATGATATTTTCGACTGTTTTATAAACACTTCAGTTAAGAGACAATTGACACCAATAAGAGTATTTTGATACAAGTGACCAGTGAAACAAATTGATCAAATTGTTAGTATACTACAGTTTTCTTGGTACCTACATTTCAAAACTTCGTCTAATATACGCTTTTTTCTTCGAGCCCCAAAATCTGATATGCCCCACAAACATATTAACTGAGCTATACCAAGACTTGAGAAACGTGAGAGACCATACACTCATGGAAATTTTAGTTTTAACTGACCAATTTTCCCTACTGCATGCATTCAATATTTCAGCCTTGATTCTGTGGTGTGTGCCACATTGAAATACAATACCAGAACAGCGGTTTACTGTTTGTTTTTCGAACTTCAAACATGTATAGTTACCGACAGCTGACTAAATATGTAAGATAAATACGAAGAAACATTGAATAAAAACTTACTTCCTAGTTTTCGATGACTGTCTAATTTAGACGGATTTACGATTTCAATAAAAATCTTCTGTATATATACTCCTAACTGGACACGGAAACAGAGAATGCTTAAAGTAACCCAGGCAGTGAATGAGCAAATATACTGCTAAAAAAATTTTCCATAAATAAATAAGGCTTCCGCATCATATATTTTAGAAAGCCACATCTGTACTTGTTTACTAACTGGACAGAATATCCATGTTTGCCACTGACAAATAAAAAGATATTTCTTAACATATTTACTTTACTTTTGATTAATCTCTAATACGAAAGTAAGTTCTCGTGTTTTGATCAGTCTAAAACATCATTAGATAAAAAAACTGGTTGGAAGTTCTTAAACTACTGAATACAAAATGTAAATTTTCGGCTATTTTTAAAATGTCTGATGGATATTTAGCGGTGAAATACGTTTTTGTTTCCAATTATTCGTAAGGCTCTCTTCATAAACTAATATTGTGAAACAATTAAATTGACAGTTTTTCGGCCATTCACTTGTACCTTATAGTTGCATTAAGTCGACATGTTTAAAGTTAATTCAAAAATCAAATTTTAAAACACAGAATAATGACATCAACTCACATTGGCCTGAAGTTGTTTGATATCATTTAGTGTACTGATAGCTGCTTTTGCATTAAAATTATATCGGTCAACGAATAAGCAAGAGTCCTAATTGCGAAAACGAAACAAAAATGAGTAAATTAATAAATGTTTGCATGTTAGAAGCCTTGTTTTATTTTACAAAAGATAATAGTTATTCAACAGAACATATTCTGTAGATTGATACTTGTATTTTTAATGTGACATAAAATTGACATTTCGACAGTATCCTGCTTTTTTATATCATGTTCTAGTTATTACTTAAGCATCTGAGCTAGTTTTTTGTCCTAAGAACAAAATTCAGTTCCTAAATTTACTGATAAATTTTCAGAACTCTGAAGAACCTTTTAGTATTTTGACAATATTAAAAGAACCTGTAATCGTGAAGACTTTTATTGCACTATTTCAGATATGAGACTGGATAGCCTTGAAGAATACTAAAAATTAATCCAATGTTGTATTTATTATTTAATGCCCTGAAACCATCTTGCACAACGTTTATTAAGACAAATGTGCACAAATGAATAAAATTTCATAGACATTTAACAAATAAGTCATATTCTGTGATAGATTGTATATTTTTGTAACCTTTTCACTTCATGAATAGGTAACTATCAGCTTTATTCACCTTCGCAAATTGTTAGAAATAAATTATCGTTCAGAATTGTTGTAGGTAATATCTACCAGTTAAGAGAAGTTATAATTATTTAAGTATCAGTGTGGTCCAGTTCTTGTATAGTCTTTGTTCCGTTCTAAAATTTGTTACATTTTTGAGTATGAAAAATTTGTATAACTTTATGTCTTGCAAGACACTGTTTATTTATTGCTAGACAAAAAAATATATGATGTTAACTTGAGTGTAGTTTAAACACAGTAAATGAATTTGATGCCCTTTGAATAAAAAATTGCTACTGTTATTGAATAAGCTTATCCAGTTCATTATCAAAATGAAGGTATTAAAACATTTACGGACCATTTCGTTGCAAACCTGTAACATCCAGAAGTGCAATGCGTCTTATCATCTGATACTAACGTCTCCAGTGTTCACAGACAAAGTATGACACGGTTTTGGCTTGTTGATACCCAATGAAGATGTGAACTCAGAAACCACTTTTTCTGATAATACACTTCCATATTTATTTATCTACTACTACTTCGAATACACTTTAACAATAGACAACAACGTAAACGGGGAAGAAGTAAATTATGTCCTAGGAAGCGAACCTATCTTTATTCAGGATAACTGTATTCATATAAATTCCACAATTGACGAATTCTGCTTAGAATGAAAGCCACGTGTTTTACTCGACAAATTGTCACTCACAAGACTTCTCAAGCAATCAAAACTGCTGGAAATCGGTAGCATAAAGTAAATAATACATAACTTGAAAACTAGGCAAATAATCAGTTGATTTGAAAACCGTACGGAAAATGCTTCGTTTCAGAATCTTAGTTTGCCAATGTCACGGAAGCCAGTAAAGTATCGAGTAGGTTCAAGCATAACGAATCGGAAACTGTCATGTAACAGCAGCATATAGTATTTGGTTTTTGAAGCTGAAGCCTTAAAGTGAAGTTTCGATGCATACATTATATAATTTTAAGTGCACCTACTTCAGTACTTGTGATGACGAAGGATTTTTAAAATCAAACTTCCATTGTTAGTGTTTAAATGCGTAAGGTACATTCAGCTTTTGCATACAGTTAGCAAGTATTTTTTTATTTACAGAAAGTAAGAAAATTAGGACGCTTTCGACTTCTTAACAATTTGTGTTTTTGCACCTGATTTTAGTAACATATCGTTTTATTTAATTTAAAGAACCCGCTCTGAAACATCGATTTGGACAACCAATAATGAAAAATGGTCACATAGTATCCATGCGTTACATCTTGGTTGGGCCGCTTGTTAACTTTCATATTCTGTCATGTTAATTTAGATAGGATTCGACAAGTTTCAGTATTCTGCATTTACTATAATAATCTTTGGATTTATGAATATAAAAGTTTATCTCTTCTGCCACAGATATCACTTGAACTCGAGATTTTCTGACACCAACTGCCAATGGTTATATAACCATATTTATCAATAAAGCGCCTACACAAAACGTATTTCAAACAATATAAATGATGATGAAAAGTTAGTACATTAGACTTGGATATGTTGAAAATTAGTTAGATCTACCTTTACGAGTCACAAAATATAAAAAATATCTAAATAATAATAGCACGTACGGGGGAGATGAAGGCATATATGGCATGACACAAAAATAAAATAACCTAGATATCCTTTCTCCCTTTTACAAAAATTAGTTTTACTATCACAAACTGTCAAGTTGTTTATTAATTTATGTAGTCGAGTAGGAATACTTCAAAAACCGTAAGTTGCAAGAGAAAAAGATAAGCTGGCGTTTAAGACATGCTTCGAGCAAATAATTTCACTGAATAGACGTTGAGACGACAAAAATGTATAAAGCTGAGCGTTTTTTGTTATGATGAACCATGCTTGACAGGAGTTAATCTGTAGAAGTGTTCGGTGCCAATATACAGCACCTAAACGGATTAGAAAGTAATCAAAGAATCGAAATGATGAACAATGTTGAAATCAGCATGCTGAAAGTTTTATGTGTGATAGAGGTAAACTTAAGGTAAAATGGGCAACGATCATTGCACTGTACCTATCTAATTATTATCTAAGAAACTTCAATTACAAGCGAAAAATTACTAATAGTTTAGGAATAGCTCGTCCATTTTATTTGTTTTATTTTTAATTAACTTTTAGCAATCTTTGAACTTCTGACTTAAAGTATTAAAAAACAATCATAATAGATGCTTAAGCTCCGTTTGTATATCTTGTTATAATACAATTCACTTTTATATCCATTACAATTTCTATCTGCAGTACGAGGTTGTTAATTACGCATGTAACTAAGTGCGTCTAAATTATAAGTCATCTGTTTGGACGTTAATTTCAAACTTTTTCTTGGGATAGAGTAACTATTACCTCTTTACTCTGTCCTTTCTCAAACTAAGGGGACAGAATACTGAGAAATGATTTTGGACCTAACGAATTCTCCCTCATTCTCCCCCCTAAATCGAGACATCTCAGAGGACATAGCAGACGAGTAAAAAAGCCAAGAACGAACAAAATACCCGTGGCATACAGGTTTTCACACCGAGCCATCCATACTTGAAACCTGCTGCCCGAAGCTCTAGTATCCGCACCTTAAATTGATTCTTTCAAGAGAAGACTGGACATTCACAGAAGCATACTTGAAAAGGAGTAACATAGACTATAGGCCTTCTGTCGTTACTACACAAATCTGAATCAATAAAATTTTCTCAATTTGATAAAATAAACAGATTTAACTGTAAATTTACCTGGGAAAGGTAAAATCCGAAAATCGGTGTATATTTGAGATTTTTATGCAGCACAAATCTTGTTCTTCCTAACCCGCCTTGATGCAAAATAAGCATGGAACAAATGAACCAATCGGCTGTGCTAGTGATTACAAGAACCTAAAATTTTAATTACCTTTGGACAAATGGTTTGAGATGAATAAAACTCTCTCGTTTTTCCTTTTAATAAAATCAACGTCACCGTAAACGTGTATCTTTAATTTATAGCTTTAAAAGTTGTGTACCTTTCTAACATTCATGTATCCAAATATAAAAAGAAAGGTTCGCATAAAGAATGCGAATAAAAGTTCATTTAAATATCGATAAGCCTGCTGGGAATGTAGAGTCAGCAACCTTATAAAAAGCCATAAAATCAAAATTGTTGGAGTCAAGAAAGGAATTGTAAATCCAAAGTATTGTTTCAGGTAATTACTCATTTGAACACAAGTGCAGCCGTATCACAGAAATTCATATAAATTTCATCTTTGCAGAATTCTCAAGGTCGTTTCCATGACTTTTCATACTTCAGTATCAGTTTGCTAAGGACAGGAGGCTAGATGGTCGGTGTTAGTCCTGGCAATGATAGTCTCTAAGCTGATCCAACTTTTTTTTTAATAGTCGACAGACGGAGCTTCAACCACGTGTTGAGGTAATGAGTTCCACTCGATGATTCGATGAGAAAGTCGATAGTCAGCTGACAAGTAAATTGTTCTGGGCTTGTGAACTTTTTTGGAGTGTCCTCTTAAATTTTGTGTTTTGGAAGACAAGAAAAAAGAGGGTATATCGGATGCAAATTCATCACTAAGTAATTTGAAATCCATTGTCAAATCGCTCCGAGTTCTTCGATACGACAATGGCAATAGATTCAGTTTAATCAACCGAGCGTCATACGGGGATCAGATTAGTTTCAGTTATCCGTATCTTTTCCAAATGTTCACCGTCTTTTTTAAGAAGGGGCTAGCCGCTTGCATGAAGCACTCGAGTTGACGACGCACGAATATTGTATACAAAGTCAAAAACATTTTAGCTTCGACATGGCTGAAGGCCTACGTATTGGCCATAGGGTTTTAAAACATTTAGCGGCTACTGTACGGCATTGTGCTGTAATTTTTAAGTCTCCCAAGTCATTGTGTGTCTGAACAACAGGTAGCTCAATGTTATTCATCATCCATATATCTGTATTTTGATGACCACTATGCATCAAAATACACTTGGAAGTTTTTATCGGCAACCACCAAGTTTGAGACCATTTAGATCATTTTTCCAGGTCATTTTAAAGCTCCAAGCCATCACCTTCAATTTTTATCGCTCTTCATTTCATGACGTCGTCAGTATATAGGAAGACCGATGATGATAGGAGACTGAAACGTTCGGGCTCTTCCGACTGGCCCGAATGCCCTTAAACACATTTCCTATCAGTGACTTCATAGACTTTTGAATATCTCCAAAAAGTTACATGCGCACAAAGCTGAGTAAAGTGCTCTAACAACATAATTTCTTATTGTGACAAGCCATTTCATACTTGAAACGTGATCCCATTAATCAAGTGTTGTGAGATAAATGATTAGCTAACAATTCATTCACGACAAAAACAGAAAATAATCTAGATTGGGACGCTGACTTACCTTGTTGATCCCCGATAATCGTGATGTTTTGGTATTACTTATTGCTCAGAAAACTCAATTATTAATTCAAACTCGGATTTCAAGTCTTCCCATAAACCCTAATGTTGTGATTGCCCGGTGAAGCATCATTAATTGAGTGCTCTCCATGAAGCAATAGCTCAACAAGAGCAGAGTTGTTACAAGTAAACAGACTGACAGCTTGGAATGAGACATCTAACTGAAGACTTGAATGACTGACAAGATCCTGACATGGAGAATGCTACACATTCCCTGTAGAAAGTCGACCATCGTCAATACCATGGTTGCCTAATGTGGCGTGACGAAGCCCACACATATCTAGTAGGTATTGATCAAAGGGTTATTGATTAATGACCATTTTAGAGAGGATATCTGAACATAGTTAATACGGACAGTTGATTGACCTTAATCTGTGTGTACGTTATTTGGGCCTTTTGCTAACGGTGTTCTGTCGCCATCATTCACCGATATTGGAATAGCTGCATTCACATAAGTTCCTCAAATGTGGAGTAATAAAGGGTTCAGCCATCTTTCGTAAGCTCTTCGTTCAAACACTTACCAAGTCGGAATATGTTGAACTGCTATCAAAACCAATGACTTAATGTCATATTTTTCAAGGTTTTCTATCAGCATATTTATCTGATTTCGGCCCAGGTTCCTGAGAACTGGGTCATGTACGAATCCGCAGATTACCTGAATGATGAAGTCCAGAAAAATGATGGCAGAGTATTTATATCAGCAATCCTCTTCGACTTTTAGATAATCTTTTATAAAATTCAACATCAGTGTGTTTTCGTCAAAATAAGATCCTACGGAATCACTAGCCCACTGCATTCACGGGTTCTCATTTACGAAGACAATATGCACAAAATCACAAAATTTAGGAGACAGTACTTATCCACTCATAACTCAAGGATCGTTTACGGTTCTAGGCTTGAAGCTTTCAACAAAGGTATATCTCAGATCAAGGACAACTTTGAAAACTCTCTACCTGGAGCAACAATGGGAGTAACCACCTAACCAAGGTCTGTGACATCAAAGAATACAGTGAACGTCACTATTAACTGCAACTTTTCCTGGACAAATATAGAGTCAAAACACTTGGCATCTTAGTACAATCATATGGGAAGTTATTTGGGCTTGACTCTTATCGTTTCCCAATCTGGCCATCTTGTAAGCTTCATAGCAAAAAATATTTGCCAATGAGGTTAGAATAAACCATTGAATAATATTCGTATGACGCTTCCCAGAATGCTAATCATACATCTTCAAACGTGAAAAAAGCGATAGTAATTTGTGTTCAAATAGCAATACCTTACGCACACAATATATGATTTGAGAATGCCTAAGGAACCTCCACTAATCAGTTGCTAGGTTGCGACTCTACTAGTGACCATACAGCTGAGTGTCAAAAACTTCTCTCTAAATCTCTATGGAGCCGTCGGCTGACGGACAAACCGATACATTTAATGTAGTAATACATGGTCTCACATATTTAATTTCTCCCTCTAATATAATTCACGACCCTACTTATAGGTTAAGAAAGACATTAATTACACTACTAGCCATAAAATACATACAGCAAATACATTTCAAGCTCTTCACAGATCTGTGGAATTGGCTAGTAATACATTTAGTGATGGTTATACTACTTTCATGATCAAATAAATAGTCATCCGAATATAAGGCCATGAAAGGCTATTCAACTATTTCTGGAACACATACTTAGTACTGGGTCACTTTTTTCTGAACCATAAAATATCCAGACTTTGTACTAGAATACTATCGGCTGCCCACCAATATATCACACATCCACTGTATTCATTACATATGCATAAATATTTAACTAAATGAGTTATCATGCTTCACCCACTGACTATAGTTTATCATGCTCTGGTACTCATGATCCTCCTCGCAGCACAAGATTTTGAGATTTTCTACTGTTTTAACTTGTCTTGCATTCTTCTATGGAGATGCATGTCTTCTGCTTTGTTCCACTTGGAGCAAACATGTGTCTCAATGGGCTTGCATGCTGTTCGATCTCAATCGACCACAGGAAGCATATATTATTCCGAACTGTTGTGAGATTCTACGGTTAGCTTTCCATCATATAAACAGTATTCCTACAGCACTTTTATTTCTTCACAACGTGATGAAGCTTTCTTATTTTCTTATTTTTTAAGCTAGTTTTTGACAACCGTTAACTTTTTGTTTCGAAAGTCTATGTTCAAGTGTATACAACCTTCCTCTCTAAAGGTCATTTATAATCTCTGAATAAGTAGTGTAAACTAACAATGTCAGGAATATATTACCATCATTAATACTCGCCGCCTTTAGGGTAGAACCCTGTAATTTACTTTGTTATTCAAATTTATAGCATTGTGGTATTCTAGATGGACATCTAACACGCTATGCAGAAGCTACGGTTATTTCATTTACGAGTGTCCGTAGACAAAGCGTTTTCTAACATGTTGTTAAACGGAGTGCATAATGTAAGACTTCGTCAACTCACAACACAATTTTAAAAGAACCAAACATCAATAAAAAATTGAGGTAGGCGTTTCCAAATGTATCTTTGGGGCGGAAGACCTTGTTCGCTCAATGTTTCATGTGTTCTAGATTTCAGTAAGCAAACATTATTGTTGATGTGTGCCTTCCGTGCAAGCTGAATTTTTGAGTCATTTTTGTGACTTTGAGGTGACTACATTTCATAAGCGGAAACTATTACAAACAAAAAGAAAATGGGGATAGATTTGGAAATCTGCGTGCATTCAACAAATTGGTCATAGGAGGCACAATATTTCCACACAAACTTCAGATCACCACCTAGTTTTGGCCAATTAAAAACTGAAGCTAAAAAGATGGAAAACCGGCTAAACATCACTACAAAGGTGCGATACAGCCTTCCTTCGAGATACTAACAAATTCAACGAATTCAAGACCGCTCTCAACAACAGGTTTCAAGCCCTACAAGATCTACTAAAGGAAGAAGAATCTAGTATGCAGGACACCTGAAAAGGCATCAAAGAAACAATAACTTCAACGTGTCAAGAGGTTCTAGGCCTCGAAAAGTATCATCATGAGGAATGGATCTCTATGAAAACCCTGGGCAAGATTAAAGAAGGGAAGAACAGGAGGGCGGTAATTTAAAACAGCCGAAAAAAAACAGAGCAAGTCAAGGCACAAGCTGAATAGACAGGAGCAAACAAGCAAATGAAGAAGAACATTAGGGCCGACGAGCAGAAATAGCTGCATGAACTAGCAGCGACGTCGGAAAAAGCTGCAAGCGAAGGAAATATTAAACAGCTTTATGATACAACGAATAAACTAGCAGGGAGACATAGTAAACCGGACAGACCGGTCAAAGAAAAAGAAGGCAGACTAATCACTAAAATTCAAGAACAGCGGAACAGATAGCAAGAATACTTCGAGGAACTCCTGAATAGGTCGGCTCCAACGAATCCACCGGACATTGAAGCAGCGCATACAGATCTTTCTATAGATGTCAATCCACCAACGACGGAAGAAATCAGAATGGCCATCAGACAAATCAAGAGCGGGAAAACAGCAGGACCCGACAACATACCAGCTGAAGCACTGAAGTCAGACATCGAAGTAACTACAAGCATGCTTTACCTTCTATTCAAAAAGATTTGGGAGGCGAAACAAGTGCCGATGGGCTGGAAAGAAGGGCACCTCATCAAGATTCCAAAGAAAAGAGATCTGAGAAAATGTGAAAACTACAAAGGCACTACACTACTGTCAATACCAGGGAAGGTCTTTAACAGAGTGTT